TTTGCATTTTCTACAAAAGTCAGAAATCGAGTCTTCAAAGTTTTCATATATCCTTAACCATCTCATCTAAAATTTCTGGAGAGTCTCCTGCTTGCAGTGAGACAAATATCTTTGTTTGGGCATTCACTCTCACTTACCTTAGCATGTACATTGTCCTGGAACAGTCTGACCTCTTGTCTTTGTGTGTGTGTGTGTTTGTGTTTGTGTGTGTATGTGTGTGTAAAATCAAGAGTAAAGTTAAATGTGTGAGTATTATTCTAAAGCCTACTCAAATGGAGGTTAAAAGTGAGGAAAATTTTCATTCAAAACATTTATTAAATCCCTAGTATGTTCCATCCTTCTTGTTTTTATTCTGGATCAAAGATATTCTTAAATTGGAACTCTGTTCCCCTGAAGAAGGTAATGTATTCATTGACAGACACATGTTTAGAAATGTGTACAATGTAGAATATCAATCACCCCCAAATCCTTAATTATGTGAAAAAGAAGTCTTCTGAAAGGAGGTATACTGGGATAGTCTTTAACAATGAGTAGGAATCTACCTCACAGATCAAAAGGAGACGAGAAGGCATGTAGAAAGCTAGCACAGTGGTATGAGACTGCATGGTATATGTTGAAGCAGTTGTGATCAGACTGGAAACAGTAGGAAGGAGTTTAGGAAGACAGACCAACGCCAGCTTATGAAGAGCCTGTATGCAAAACCTAGATATTTGTATGTTTTTCCACATGATCATGGGAACCTTGGAAATGGACATTTTGAATAGAGCCCAATTACCATGAAAAAAGATTAAATATTTGAAGAATAGCATCTGTGTCAAGAGAGTAAATGAACTGCACTTGTTTAACTTGGAAAACAGAACCAGAAGAGAAGAGAACTTACCCTCTGTGAGAGGTTGTTATACAGAGGATAGTGACTAGTTGTTTTCGGTTCCCACTGGGGACAAAGCAATAAGAAATAGGCTTCAATCTCAGCCAAAGAGAAAATTACCTACAGAAGGGGTCCTTCACAGAATGAATGAGTGTGACTGACGTACATCATTAAAATCTTGTCTCCAGCTCTCTGGCTGTGTGCGGCTTGCTGTGGATTCAGTCGGGTTTCAGAGCAATAGCAAGACTGACAATTTTCTGGCTTGCAAGAGGGTATGGAAATTGAAAAAAAAACACAACTCTCTTAAGTGTCAATTATTCATTCAGTTATTTTGCAATCTGCATAACCGAAGTTTTTGTCATGTATTTAAACATTCAAAAGATAGATATTATATTTTTCATGTAACATTCATACTTATTTAAAAGAGAAACTATCCAGTTAAACTATAGAAGTAGGTTTTGTTCTAGTTGAGGAATTTTCTAGTAATGTACCATTTCAAAGTTATTAAGATTAAATAGAGGGAATTTATTTAAATTCAGCTGCTAATCTATGTGGAACATTTATTGGTCAGACAAATACAATTATAACTGGTACATGGTTTGTTAACTAATGACACTAAGGTAATGCAGTTGTCATCATTGTTATCATTCACTAATAAGTCTGTTAAAAAACATTTTTAACCTTTTCAAATATTTCTAATTTCTGAAGCTGCTATTTGTGTTTATTTTATTGTTTGAAAAATATATTCAAGCAGGAGGATTGTAAAGTGGCCATTTTGTTCTGCCTTCGGTGTTTTATAAAAAGAAGTCATGTATCTTGCCTGCCCTGCTTAACTTTGGCTAGGGAGAAGAAAGCAGAGGCAAGTAAAGACAGGAATGACAAAAGGCATTTTGCTTCTGACTAGAGCAGGCCTTTTAACACAGGCTAGATCTTTACCACTGGGACTTAGGAGCTGGGAAAATGTTTGCCTATGTGATGTTAATGTCAAATTTTAACAAGATTTCATGCTAACCAGCTATCGAATGCAAATCAATTTTATTTCTTAATAAACTGACCTACACTCTTTGAAAGTGATTTTGTATACACTCAGATGAGATTACTCTTGTTCTATGCCAAGAGATATATCTGTCCAGCTATTTATACTTATACAAGCCAATTATTGGGTCAATGCCATTAAGTTTTATAATTGATGACACTGAATGTTTTTAGTTGCTTTGTGTGCTGACAATGAACTAGACAAAGCCAGAAAGTGTGAATGGTATGGATGAGGTGAGAGAGGTTTATCAAAATACAACATAAATTAGGCAGGGATGGGAGGGGGAAACTGGAGGAAACTAAAGGAAGAGTTGAAATTGTCCTCCAAAAAAGAAATGTACTCATTACCTGAGTGGTAGCCCCTCTGTAGAACACCTTAATTATAATAGTAAAATTTGTTTTTAAAATACAAAGTGAATGTAATATGCTAAGGAAAACGATTCTTTCATGTATATATATACTTGTACGTATATTTTTATGTATGTGTGTATATATGAATATTTATACATCATATATACATATATGCATATATATATATATATATATATATATATATATATATATATATATATATATATATATATATATATTGTCCTGGAGTTTGAGTACAAGGCTTCATACTTCCTAGGTAACTGCTATATCACTTAGGTCACATTTCCAACTATTATTTATTTCCTTGAAAAATTAATCTACAAGACATATACCTGCAGAAAATTTAAAAGACTACTTATTTGTCATGACTTTCTGCCAATTTGAAACATGAAAACTGACTGTGTGAGGGTTTTATTTAAATAAATACTGCAATATGTATTAAGCAGTTTGTCTTCCAGCCCAAATAAGATATTTCTCAGTTGACAAGACAGACACTTGACCATATTTACCTTGGCTTTGAAGGGAATATTATGATTCAAAAAAAGCATATTCGTACTCGGCCTATGACAAACCTTTCTGATTTCATCGTGGAAATTAGGATATTTATTTAACTGAAATGTTATGCTTTATCTTTTAAAATATGAGCATTGACACTGCTGAATTTCATAACAGAAATTAAATTATTTGTAGTATTATTGTTGAATAAATATTAATAATTTTTTTCTAGGGTTACATAGAGAGCCTAAGTTTTATAATGCAAAATATGTGAGAAAAAGAAAAAAGATCACATATAAAATTGATATATGAACATGCTGCAAATGTTCTATTTCTGTTTTTATTTCCATGTTAGGCATGCACATTTTATTTTATTTTATTTTATTTTATTTTTGGGGGGAGGGTCCGGTCATGGGGCCTGAACTCTGGGCCTGGGCGATGTCCCTCAGCTCTTCAGCTCAAGGCTAGCACTCTACCACTTGAGCCACAGCGCCACTTCCGGCTTTTTTATTTTTGCTTATATGGTGCTGAGGAATCGAACCCAGGGCCTCAAACATGCAAGGCAAGCGCTCTACCACTGAGCCACCTTCCCAGCCTGGCATGCACATTTTTTACAGCTACAATATACTTGTACAATTTGGTTTCCATTAAAAATGAGATGGGTTTTGTTGGTCTTTTGTATTCTTTGTTTTTGTTTTTGTCTCTGCCTCCATAGACTTCATAAAATATAAATCAGATTACTTTAGGAAGCAATACCTGAAATTTCCCTAAGCATCTGGTCTTTTTAGGATTTAGGAGGATAAATAATTTGTAAGCAGAAAATGTTAATTTATTTATTATTTGAAATAGTCACCAAACTCTGAAAATAATGGAATGTGTAAGCATATATCATAGTAATCCCCAGGTGAAGATCTCTCTTCAGGAATGAGAGCCTCCCAGCTCTCTGGCTGTTAGCTTTACTGAAGACAGATTGCTAGCTAGTCCTTGGACTGTGTCACTCTACCTTGTAGTACTTCAGTGTATTTAGTGGATGCTTGTGAGTATGCAAAATTTTAATATTTTACCTATATGTGATAAGATCATCATAGAAATTCTAAAAGAAATAATTACAAGCACTTGAATTGTCAACATTATGTCTCTTTATGTGGATGGAGCCTTGAGACTAATACTTCCTTGAAGTTGGTTACATCATCAGGATAGGTATGGTTGTTGATAGCTGTGATTTAAAACAGAGACAATATGGCCTGATTTTATTAAATACTGCCTTTTTTTCTTTCTTAATCACTAAAACCATACAGATTAATTTGCTTTGTAATTACCTAAGTATCCTCTGCAACTTTTTAATAAACCTGTTTGTGAATAATACTGATTTATTTTGAACAGAGTAATCCTTAAAGCTAAAACCCCTGACTCAGTATAAACATCAGTGGACAAACCCATCATCTAAAGATTATAGAATTAAAACAGCCAAAAGAATGAGAAAATTTGATACTTTGTAGTTTATTCTGTTTCTAAATAATCCTTAATTTCATTGCCAGTTTAGTCTAGTTATAAAACAGTTATAATAAAGACATTAGATTTTTATCATACATACGTACTTTTTCTGTACTATAAATTTTTTTTATCATTCTGAGTATGCCATTTGTCTTTAGTGTCTCTGAAAAAGAAATAAAATATATAAGCTAATAATTTTTTATCACTACTCTGTGATTAGAAACCTTTTGTATTTTGGGGGAGAAAACGGGGGTCTCAAAATTATTTTCTGTTCAATTTTTCAGGTAAAGAAGGATAGCGACTGCTTAATCTATTACGTTAATTTATGTCAGTGAAGGCTGGAAACAAATATCTCATAAGTTAATCCAACTTTCAAAAATATGTTATTATAATGAAGTGACAACAGAATGCAGCTAACAAACACTTTAACTGGGACTATTACTACAAATCCTTAAATATATGTTCTTTCATGACTGGAATAGTTTGTCACAAAAATTCAGACATCTTTAAAAATATTGAATAAGTCTTATTTTATTGGTTATTCAGAGCTTATTTTAAAAATCCACAGTATTGTCACTAGTCCCCATTAAAAACTTACCTACAACTTAAAAAAAAACAAAAAAACCTTACATGAGTTACAATGAATTGAATTCACTCTTCATTCATTATCTTTGTTTTTATATTTGTTATTTAAATGACTAAAAAATGCTAAAAATTTCATCTTGTTTCTTTCCAGATTAGAGATACAAAGTCATCAGATCAAAAAACAACACTTTTGCATTTTCTTGCTGAACTTTGTGAGGAGAAATACAGAGATATTCTGAAGTTTCCTGATGAACTGGAACATGTAGAGAGTGCAAGCAAAGGTAATTGTTTTTTACTGCTTTTAAGCTGTTTCTGGTCTTAGTACTTTTTTTAATGGTATGGTTAAAAAAGAAATCTATGAACATCGTTATTCATAAAAGTATTTTTATTTGTTTACTGATACAAAAAAGCAGAAAACTATTTTCCATTATTTTATGTCAGACAACCTGTTCTTTTTTCCCCTTTTCAAAGGTTTATGAAGGATTTACTTTAACAAGCTAAAGTAAGGAGGAACAAAAAGAGGGGGCATTTTGTTTTCACATAGGAACTACAAAAAAAAAACCTGTCTTCTTTATTAATTCCTTTTTTTCTGCTCCATAGGTTTAAACAGCACTTTTTGATTGGTAGCAAAAAGCACTTTCACTTGAGCCACACTCTAGCTCTTTTACTTTTGTTATTTTTCAAATAAGAGTCTCACTTTTTGCCCAAGCATACCTGGATTATGATACTCCTATTTATGCTTTTAACATAGCTCAGCTTTGCATTGCTTGAGAATAAAGTGTTATGAACTTTTTACTTGTCTAAACCTAAATTTGAGTTCCTTCCCATCTCTGCCTTATAAGTATCTGGGATTATAGATGTGAGCCACCATAGCAGGCTTTGTCATTATTTTATTTAATCAGTGTTAGGTTATTGAAGTCTTCATACCTCTGAGAAGATAATGCATTGATGCTTTAATTTTGTAATCACTTAAATGTATTTTTTGCAAAATGATTGTAAGATAGTAATTTCATCATATGGTAAATTATGAAGGTTAAAAGACATGTAGATATATAGACATACACAGAAAAATCCCATATAATAAGAATTAATGTGAAAAGTTTGTATCAAAAGGTAATATCCTGTAGTTTAGATAAACAAAAAAAGTATTTTGAAGCGATTAATAAGAGAAAGAATGGGGGGAGGGAAAGTGAAAGAAAAATTAGGGAGAGGGGTAAAAAGGTCAACAAGAAATGTACTTATTACTTTACTTATATAACTGTAACCCCTCTGTACATCACCTTGACAATAAAAATATTTTTGAAAAAAATAATGGAATAAAAAATGTTGCAATAAAAAATAAAAAAATGGATTAACAGAGGTGTCCAAAGGTAAAAGTGTAAAGATAGGGACTTACAGACAAGAGCTAGGGACTTACTTTGAAGACAGAACATCACGTGAGCAAAGCACTGTATCCTCATGTTTTAGAACTTTGGTGGGAGAGTATTGTGTGCCATTTAGATATACTGGGCAGGAAAGCCTCCTTAAGGGATAAAATGGGTGTTACTTTGCAACACTGAGGAATGACTCAAAAAGAAGAACCAACAATGCCTATAATATTTTAATGTGAGAGAATTATCCTATCCATTTTGTATTATCTATTCTTGGAAATATATGTATATATATAACTTGAAATTACACTGTAGTTATCTCTTTCTACTGCTTTGAGGACCTTTAGTAAGAACCTAAAACTTATTTTTTATCCAAATATGAATGTAAAATATTAACTTCATAGATCTTTTATTGTCCTTTGAAGGATAAAAAGTGGGTCAATAAAACTGCAAATACCATTCATGAACATTTTTCAGTGGTCATTTATGCTAGTTTCGTATTTTCAATCAAATCTGAAATGTATTTCTTCAGTTTTACCCAATGTATCTTGTTTTGTGGCCTAAGAACCAGACTAACCTAAAAGATAAACTCTAGCTCCATGGTAATATATTTATTCTTATGACAAAATGTTTGTAGTATGCTAGGAAATGACAGCTTGGTTGGAAGCACTTTCTAAAAAACTTCTGTTCCTTACCTCTTGGATTTAAAAATCAACCTTTTATGTTTAGAGGCACATTTACTGACAAGTCATTATTTTAAATAATAATATGTAAAATATTATATTATAATTTGACATGTAAAATTCTAGAAGTCAGAACACTTATCAAATTTCATCACTTTTTTTTTTTTTTTTTTTGTGATCCTGGGGCATGAACTCAGGGCCTTGGTGTTGTCCCAGAGAGTTTTCTTTTTTGTTTTGTTTTGTTTTTGTTCTTTTAATTCATTTTATTTTATTTGTGAACATACTGTACAGAGGGGTTACAATTACATGGGCAGGATAATGCGTACATTTCTTACCAAGCATTGCAGCCTCCTCCTTTTTTTATCCTTCACATCGCTTCCCAGCCTCCCCCCGCCCCCCCCCCCAGTCCCAATCATTCCCCCCCCCCCCCCCCCCCCCCCCGCACCAACATTGTAAAGCTCGTTTTCGACATGACAACTTGTACTTCTCATTGTTGAAACAGGTCCACCTGTATCCTTAAACGTCTTGTTTTTCCCCATCTCCTCCACAAGTTATACTGACATCAAATATAGTGAAAACAGGGGTTATACTGTGGGGGAGGGACATACAAAGCAACAAAGAAATAATCTTATAAATGCGTTAGAAACACATGCATGAAAGAAAAAAATCATTAAAATACATATCTAAGGGTTCATTTAACTAACATCACATTATCTGACCTTTTCCGCTTGACTCAGACATATACTAGATATTGCAAATAAGGGAAACCATGGGGTCTATGTTTCTTTGGGCCTGGCTTACTTCGCTTAATATAATTTTTTCCAAGTCTTTCCATTTCCTAACAAATGGGGCAATGTCATTCTTTCTGACGGAGGCATAGAATTCCATTGTGTATATATACCACATTTTCTTGATCCATTCATCTACTGAGGGGCATCTGGGTTGGTTCTATATCTTAGCTATGGTAAATAATGCTGCAATAAACATAGTTGTGCTGGTAGCTTTAGTGTGGTCTTGTTTGTAAACATTTGGGTAAATGCCCAAAAGTGGGATTGCTGGGTCATAGGGGAGCTCTATGTGGAGTCTTTTGAAGAACCTCCATACTGCTTTCCAAAGTGGTTGAACAAGTTTACATTCCCACCAACAATGAAGTAAGGTTCCCATCTGTCCACATCCCCTCCAGCATCTGTTCTTATTAGAGTTCTTGATTTTTGCCATTCTAACTGGAGTGAGGTGGTATCTCAATGTTGTTTTGATTTGCATTTCTTTTATGGCTAGGGAGGTTGAGCATTTCTTCATGTGTCTATTGGCCGTCCTTCTTTCTTCTTCAGAGAAGTTTCTCTTCAAGTCTTTAGCCCACTTATTTATTGGGCAGTTGTTTCTTTGAGGATTTGTTGTTGGGGGATTTAATTTTTTGAGTTCCAAGTGTATTTTAGATATGAGACCCTTGTCCTTTGTATGGCTAGTGAAGATCTTTTCCCAATCTGTGGGCTTTCTATTGATCTTGTTAGCTATGTCCTTTTCCATGCAGAAGCTCTGCAACTTCATGCAATCCCATTTGTCCAAACTTTCTTTGATTGGTTGTGTTTCCGGGTCTCTATTCAGAAAATTTCGGCCTGAGCCAAGGAGACCTAGGGTTTCTCCTATTCCATCCTGTAATGTTTTCAGAGTGTCTGCTTTGACTCCGAGGTCTTTGATCCATTTGGAATTGATTCTGGTGCAGGGTGAAATATAAGGATCTAGCTTTAGTTTTCTACAAGTAGTTAACCAATTTTGCCAGCACTATTTACTGAAGAGGCTGTCTTTGTTCCATTCTATTGTTTTAGCTCCCTTATCGAAGATTAGATGGCTATAGGTCTGTAGGTTCATTTCTGGGTTTTCAATTCTATTCCATTGATCCTGAGGTCTGTTCTTATGCCAATACCAAGCTGTTTTGATTACTATGGCTTTATAGTAGTTTGAAATTTGGTATTGATATTCCTCCAGCAGTGTTCTTTCTGTTGAGGAGCGTTTTTGCTATTCGGGGTCTTTTATTGTTCCATATGAATTTTTGGATTGCCTCTTCTATTTCCTTGAAGAATGAGGTTGGAATTTTGATAGGTATCGCAATGAATTTGTAGATAGCCTTGGGAAGTATTGCCATTTTCACGATGTTAATCTTTCCAACCCAGGAGCATGGGAGGTTTTGCCATTTTTTTAGTTCTGTGTTGATTTCCTTTTTCAAGATTTTAAAGTTTTCGTCATAGAGGTCCTTCACTTCTTTGGTTAAGTTAATTCCTAGGTATTTTATTTTTTGTGGGGCTATTACAAATAGAGTTGCTTTACTAATTTCAGCCACACTTTTCTCATTGTTGGCATACAGAAAGACCATTGATTTTTGGGGGTTAATTTTATACCCTGCTACTTTGCCAAAGTTTTGAATCAGCTTGAGTATTTTGGGAGTGGAGTCTATGGGATTCTTTAAATACAAGATCCTGTCGTCTGCAAAGAGGGAGAGTTTTATTTCTTCTTTCCCTATTTGGATCCCCTTTATGTCTGCATCTTGTCTTATTGCTGTAGCTAGGCATTCTAATACTAGATTGAAGAGAAGTGGAGAGAGTGAACATCCTTGTCTTGTTCCTGAGTTAAGAGGAAATGGCTTTAGTTTTTCACCATTAAGTATAATGCTGGCTGTAGGTTTGTCATATACAGCCTTTATTGTATTGAGGAATGTTCCATGGATTCCTAATTTTTCCAAAACCTTCATCCTAAAGGGGTGTTGGATCTTGTCGAATGCTTTTTCTGCATCTATTGAAATAACCATGTGGTTCTTATTCTTGCTCCTGTTGATGTGATGAATAATATTAATTGATTTGCATATATTAAACCAGCTTTGCATCCCTGAAATGAATCCTGTTTGATCATGGTGTATGATTTTTTGGATGAATTGTTGACGTCGGTTGGCCAATATTTTGTTGAGAAGTTTTGCATCAATGTTCATCAAAGAAATGGGTCTATAGTTCTCTTTCTTTGATGAGTCCCTGCCTGGTTTTGGGATGAGGGTTATGATGCCTTCATAGAATGTGTTCGGTAGTGAACTTTCTCTTTCAATTTCATTGAAGAGTTGGAGGAGTATTGGTGTGAGCTCTGCTTTGAAGGCCTTGTAAAATTCCGCTGTAAAACCATCTGGTCCTGGACTTTTCTTAGCTGGAAGGTCTCTTACTGCTGTTTGTATTTCGAAGCTTGATA